TCTTCGTTAATTAATGAGCAAAATCAGTGTTTCGTGTTTAATTGCTAATAACAAGAAAAAATTAAAATTAATACAAATAATTTATATTTTAATTAATTTTGAACATATATCATTTACAATAATTAAAATATGTTTATTATGTAAATCAATTCAATATTTTAAAAGTTTCTCATTAATTTTGATAATAAATAACTCATATTAATAACTAATTAATTCTGCAAATTGAAAATTTCAATATTATTTGTAATTACTATAATTTCAAATACTTTTTTTTTTATTATTTATTAAATTAATTAATTTGATTGTTATATAAATAATTGAATGAAACTATAAAGTAATTATTGTTAGTTTGTAATTACTTTAGATTAACTTGAGCGTTGTTAAAACAGACTTGATTATTAATTAATAAGCGAAATCAGAGTTCGAACTAATTGCTAATAATTTCAGAACGTAATTTCAGATTATCAAATGTTAATAATGGAGGAGAAAACTTTTGCCTTTTTGTGAAATTAATTGTATTTATATGTTTTATCCTATTTCTTTGTACGGCGCTTTGGGATTATATTTTTTATTCGGCGGGAAGGAAAAGTAAGGCCACTCGGGACCGCAATTCGATCTAGACTCACCCAACTTTAATGAAGTTAGCCCAGAGGTGCGTCATGGTGTTAATCACTTCCAACTCGGTTCTATTCGTTGTCGCAAGATTTGCAGTCCTGAATATGTAGAATAGATCCTCGACGTGTCCAGCTCCTTTATCATAATAATCAATTTACAAACAATTAAACTAGTGATTGTGTAATTGCGACCTTTGACTTTCCTGAGTGTTTCGTGCTTTGTACCGAATCGACCCAGGTATCCCTCGTAAGAGAAGACGTAGAGGTAGACGTCAGTGAAGGCGGCGCAGATCTGCACGTTGTGTCTGATCGCCCTTACGAACTGCGAATCGCCGATAAACTGTGAAAGGTCGAAGATGGAATTGGAGCGAAACGGAGCACAGTTATTTGTCGATGCTTACATTCATCATCTCCGTCTTCGTCGACATCGAAATGTACTTTCGACCGAAGTAATAATTCTTGATCTTCATAGCCACTTCCTTGCGTTTCACCTTCGTCGTGCAGTTCAAGTTTACTGGAACTATGAGCTGAGGCATCAAATCCCAATGGGCAATATACGGTCTGGACAATTCGATGACTGTAATATAACAAAAAATAGGTTCAATTTTGCTTGAATTTTATACAAAAATTTGAATAGTTATTTAAACTTTTTCTTTCTTTTCTGTTGCAGTATTTGATTATTGAACTATGGATTTTTGTTCGTATAATGTGTACCGTCTTGTACGATGGCCGCCTCCTGCGATGTGAAGCCAATCATGTAAGGGACGATATTGAATTTGCCGGCGGCGAAAAGGTCATTGCTTCTGTTTGTGAGGACGGCCTCCTCGAGTTTGGGTTCGACGCAGGGGGCGAAGGGCAGCCCGTTCAGAGGTTCCATGGCCGTCTGTGCAATGGAAGGAGAGAGAGGGAGAGAGAAAAAAAAAAAGAAGAACGGATTTACATTTACGGAACGTTTTCGTGTAGCAGAGATCACGGACCCCAAGATGGATTGGTATCGATCGCGATCTCAGTTTCTTCGCATCCTCCTGCCTCATCCTCTCCACGAAGACGGTCATATTCGATTCGAATATTCCGCACGCCAATCCCAGAAGCATGGCAATCCTCTTCGGTTCCCGTTGAAAAGCCCATGGACAGAGGGCGCTTCCGCTCGCAGAAATCGCCCGATGGAATAACCCTCTGGATTGAGGGATCAGCAGGTGGTAACCGACGGAGGCGGCTCCGGCACTATCCCCGAAGATCGTCACGTTGTTGGGATCACCTCCAAAATGATGGATGTTATTGTTCACCCAACGCAGCACTTCCACCTGATCCTTGAGACCGTAGTTCCCAGGCATCTCGGCATCCTGCGTGCTCAGGAATCCTATAATAGCAAAGGAGAATCTTATAATAGCAGAGATTGAGACACGAAAGTTAGCGCTCACCAAACACCCCCATGCGATAATTGAAGCTGACGAACGCGATTCTCTGGCTGAGCAGATAATCCGGACCGTAAACTGTATAATTGGCAACTCCATTCACAAAACGACCTCCATAAATATACACCAGAACTGGAACTAATCTACTCTCATTGAGATTCTGGATATTCTAGAAAATAAATTGATTTCAACATTTAAACAAACATTGAGTTGTAATATTTAAGACAGAAATATATAAATATTGTCTTTGCAAGATAAACAAAGTGGACTTCATATCTTTCCTAGGAGACACACGTATTTGTGTTAGGTCGTATGTGGAGCGTGTTTATTTTCGCGAACCTGCGGGGTGTAGACGTTGATGAAGAGGCAATCCTCGAGTCCAATATCCGTCGAAAGTTGTATACACATCGGCGGTTCGACGGTGGCGTTCAGGATTCCGCTCCACTTGCCGAACTTCACCGGCGGCTGCAAATCACAAACGAAGAATGAATAAGAAATAAAAAAGAAAACTGAATGTTGTAAAAAAAAAGGAGTAAATGAAAATAAGGATAATGAATTTTCACCTTCCATCTGAGCGGTCCCACAGGTGGTTCGGCGTAGGGGATTCCCAAGAACTTGTAGTACGTCACGTTACGGTCGACGGTTCTTCCCCTCGCGCCCTGCAACACCCCGCTCTCGATCCTCACCTGCAGTCTTCTATCCTGCACATTTTCTCATATTCTCCGAATGCTGCAAAGAAAATACGAAAATCCGAAGAGGAAAATGTTCGCTCACCGAAACGTCCTTTTCCACCAGCAGCAAACTCTGCGTAAACGCACATACGGTAACTAAAACTATCGTAATTTGGACCACGTTCATTGACATCCGTGCACTTTGACATTTTCAACTGTTGTTTCTTTACTGCATTGTTGTCATGACAATTTTTATGTTTTTTGTTTTTTTTTTCTTTGATTAGGTTAAGTTAAGAAAATGAACCCGATTCAGCACATCACTTATATTCAGTACATTTTCACAATTATCCGAATTCTGTAATTAAATCTGAAGAAAAAAAATCACTTACCAAAAGTTACTTCTTCGTTTGCAACAAACTTTTAGTCAACGCGCACCCAGCTAATGAAACTAACACAAGTTGGAAAACAACTTTGACATTTTCCAGGTTTTTTGAAGTTTTGTTTTTTTTTCTTATATTAATTCCAAGGCACTCTTCATTTTTTTTTTTCTTAAATTTTTAGTAACATTGTGAGAACAAAAGAAAATCGTCGGAAAAGTTAATACGATTTATATATTTAATTAAATTTTATTTAAAAGAAACGAAAAATGTTCTCTAAAGAAACTTGATATTATTACATAGACAATATGATGTGAATTAGGTCAAAAATTGATCTTTTTTTTTGTGGTGAAGGTGGAATCTGTAATGGATTATTATTTTCTAAAGGGAGGAAGTTGCGTAAGTGAACGGAAGAGACCGGATCGATTAAGAGAGTCGAACGCATTAGCTTTTTGTCCTTGGAGGAAGTAGAGTGGGTGGAGGACAAGATAATGGGGATGAGGCCAAGGTTTTTTTTTCTCCCATCATCACCCCTAAAAATACATCCTTAGACCTTAGATATAGTAATGTAATACTCCCATAGCATCCAAAGCGCATTAGGGAGAAAAGGGAGAATAAGAAGAAGCATCACCACCATCGAAAAAGTGAAACACCCTGCCCAAATTTCATTACGTCAAATTCTGTTGCGAGTCTCCTGTTTTCATCCACTCTTCGAGTAACAAGATCCATCGGGTTTTAAATATAAAGTATTTTGTTTTCAACAAAAAAACAATAATACTCATAATATTAATTTTCATCTCAAATAATTGAACTGTAATTTTTTATATAATTATTATATTGTTGTCATGGCAATAAACGTTACTATAGTAAAATAATTAAAAATGGACTTCAAATTTGAATATTTTTTTAGTTTTATAAAAGTCTAAATAATATTTTAATAACAAAGAAAGGAATAAATGTTGTGAAGCAAACATTTACATGCATGTTTTTACGTTTACGCTCACGCTTGTACAAATACACGATGAAGCAAATATTGGAGATGCTTCGTCGTTTCGAACAACAAATTTACATTGAACGAACGAATTCCCTTGAGCCTCGACCCGGCGCAACAAATATAATTTGAATGCGTTTATTCGAAATGAAGAATTAGCAGATCTCGATGCAAAAAAGTTGAATTAGTTCTTCAGATTTCACAAGAAACGAATTGATTTAGACTTGGCGCATCCACCAAAACAATGTACAACAAATTTGTACAGCTGCAATTTGAATGTGTTCTTGAGATTTCTCGAGGAGCGTGTACACTTCTCAGGAATTGAGTGGGAGAGATTCAATTGAAATCTTGGCAGAAAATCATCAAGATTTTAATTAACTGGCAACATCGCGGATGATTAACATCTGCCTCTGAAAGAGAAAGCAACAACGCTTGATGACATCCCATCATCATCATCCCATCGCACTGCGACTAATTAATAATTCATCTTTTTGATCCATCCAAAACCTCTCAACCCAATTTCCTACCCTCACTTCATTCCGCCGTATCAATCTTTCTGCATTCCCTTTTATGCGCATCCAATTAAATTTTAATTAAACTCGCTAATTCTCCACTTAAATCTTCACTTTTATGCAGTCTTTTTTCTATATAATTTTTACACTAATCAAATTTTCAATTATTTTCTTCATCAAAATCAAAGATTTTCCTACTATATAGGAAACAAAATTTAAATGTGTGGAGAGGAACAGTTCTTAAGTCGACTTTTATCGTGTTGTTTTTTCCTTTGGAGAATTGTTGTTGTTGTTGTAAATCAAGTTTTATCGCGAGGCGAAAGTTTTCAGTGCCGAAAAAACAAACGGAAACGATAATTTATATATATAGAAACACGTACAGCGAGAGGAAGAGAAATACAGTGAGTGCATCCTTTTATATATTTTTGTTTTGTTTGGTTTAGATGTTGAGGCTCACCTGCATGGGCGGATTTTCGCTGATCTCCTTTTGCTCTATTTTTGTCATTAGCTCCGGCAATTTAGTGGTTGTTCCGTAATTTACGGCCGCTTTATAGCGATCTTCCGGCTTTCCCCTTTCCAGCGCGAGCTAAGGAAGATGTATTTTATGCAAATTTGCTCGGCTCTCAACTGCATTATTACACGTTGCGCTCCTTGTTTTCTCCTCTCTTGCCATTAGAAATTTAACTTCTTTGCACGTTAAAAAAGTGTGCTGGCGAAGTAAATAATAAGATTCTTTCATCGGATTTCATGTTTTCGCAGTGCACTTCAGTGAACATTCTTTTGGAGGATTTTCCGACCGGACGTTGCTTCGGGTTTGTGCGAGCGGATACAAAGTTTGCGATCAAAGGAGGAAAACTAATCTCGTGTCGCATCTCTATTGAGGATGCTGGAGGTAGTAGTAGTAGTGGTAGTATTAGTATCGGAAAGGCATTAAGTGGGGAAACAGGAAATGGCGTAACTAGGAACGACGCCAACGACGTCGAAGGTCCGTGTTAAATTTATCTTCCGAAGAGGCTAATCGCGCTAATTACCATCGCCCAATCACTATTAGCGGTTTTGCCAAGTTTACAGAGCCAAAAGGGCCGTTCTCTCCTCCACCTCCACCTCTCATCCATTTTAAACTCCAAACAACCGACGGATTACGTAAGCAGCTCAATCGATATCTTCGGTTCCGCGTTTACGCTTACGTCTACGGATAAGTTTAAGGATCAGAGTAGCCGTGGAAGGGAAACAAAATAGAGGCGCGACAGGATAAGGAACATATCTTAGCCTGTCTCCTGCTGCAAAAGGTGAATATTTATGTTGCAGGGTTCCTGCTAGACAAATACCAGTCATTTGCTTCCAAAAGTCCCGAAGGAAACAAACATTTCGTTGAAATATTAAAATCTGCATTCGCGATGACAAGAAACATCCAACATCATCTTTCAGCTGCCTAAGCCTAAAAATACAACTTGAATTACACATACAAAATTTTGAAATATTTCAAATTTCGTATCTTATCGTATCGCAGAGTTAATTATAACTTTTGAACGTTAAAACTAGCTTCATCATCATAAACTCTTTTACAATGTTATTGTCCGTTCTTTTGTTCTTTACAGTTGGGCTGGTTGGCTACTTAAACGATGATGGATTAATGTTACAGCTATAATCTATTTATCTTGGGGATGACAATGAGAGGGCGCTCGTGTCGTGCGTGACCCGGCACCTCCGCCAACAATCGATCATCTCGAGATGATCGAGCATATACACAAAAATTGATTCCCATTCTCTTACTCTTACTTTATTACAGCCACAATTCCAATGGAAAACAATACCAAAAGAAACAATATATAGATCAGAACAATAAATAAGGATAAAAGCAATACAAGATTGATTTTGCTAACGTAGAGAGTATTTATAGAAAGAGATTTTATTGACAAAGTTTTTATTGAATTTATAAGTTATTAGAAATTATTTTCAATTATTGAAAGTATTGAATGGAAAGATACATTTCTAGAGCTTAAATAAAACAATTTTATATTTTATTAACAAATTACGTAATATTCTTAAGTAATTGTAAAAATTTTGTGGATTGACGTGCACGCATTGGATTAATTCGCATGGGGAAACGGAAGCATCTTGAAATAATTTGTTTGGTGACCTCGAGAGACAAGATCTATGGAAAACAATACCAAAAGAAAAAATATATAGATCAGAACAATAAATAAGGATAAAAGCAATACAAGATTGAATTTGCTAACGTAGAGAGTATTTAAAGAAAGAGATTTTATTGACAAAGTTTTCATTGAATTTATAAGTTATTAGAAAACGTTTTCAATTATTGAAAGTATTGAATGGAAAGATACATTTCTAGAGTTTAAAGAAAACAATTTTATATGTTATTAACAAATTACGTAATATTCTTAAGTAATTGTAAACATTTTGTGGATTGACGTGCACGCATTGGATTAATTCGCATGGGGAAACGGAAGCATCTTGAAATAATTTGATTGGTGACCTCGAGAGACAAGATCCATGTCTTCCCCTTCGATAACGACGTAAACTCATGCCATCTTCTGACGGACTTAAGATCAATTCGGCTAAGTGAATGGCAATTAATTTGTTTCGCAAAAATTGCCCCAAGTCACGACACGAAAATCTTCTTTCCACCTTAAAAAGAAAGGAAGAAAAGATTCACACATTTTCGGAATTGCAGACGTCGTTCGTCCACGTTCCACGACCGACTAACGAGTGGAGGAAAAATCCGTGAAAATTGCCCGGAAAAAGCGAAGGGGATGCACAACAAACAGCAGAAAAAAAATATCGCTGAGTCTCTTATTCGACACACACTGTGGGAATAGTAATGTGTAGGTCGTTTTTCTTGATTGAAATTGATGAAAATCCACGTATTATTTCAATTTTATCATATATTACTGATTAATTTGGTTTGAAATAAATAAATTTACAATTAGTTTAATTAATTATACAGTTTTTGATCATTACAACTGAAAAATTGTTGATTTTTTTAGAATAATTTTTAGAACATTTTTCTTGTTTGAAATAGATAAAAATCCTCATATTATTTCAATTTTATCATATTTTACTGATGATTTTGGTTTGAAATAAATAAATTTACAATCATTATACAGTTTTTGATCATTACAACTGAAAAATTGTTGATTTTTTTAGAATAATTTTTAGAACGTTTTAATTGTTTGAAATTGATGAAAATCCTCATATTATTTCAATTTTATCATATTTTACTGATTAATTTGGTTTGAAATAAATAAATTTACAATTAGTTTAATTTATTATACAGTTTTTGATTATTACA